TATACATACATACATATATGCATATATATATATATACATATATATATATACATACACATATATATATATATACACATACATATATATACATACATTATATATATATATATATATACATATACATATATATATATACATACATATACACATACATACATATATATATATATATATATACACATACATACATATATATATATATATATACACATAGTATATAGTAAAAAATAGTATAAAACAGATCCTGTTATATGGTACTCCTTTAATTTGCCCTTTATACTCTATTTGTTAATTTCTATTATTATTAGTTTTTTTTATATAAATTAGTATTTCAAATTTATTATATATTTAATTACATTATTCATATTAATTCTTATATTAAAACGTACATTATTGTCATATTCAGGAGTATTCCAAATGATACTACTCCTCCTAATTAGTCTCTGTTATATGACTCCCTAAGTGCTGTATGCAGCATATAAGATGCATCCCTAAATAACACTGCTATCTACTCTGGTCTGTTCAGTAAATATAAGATGCGCCCCTAAATATCACTGCTGTTACCTCGGGTGTGTGCAGGTCTTCCTAAAGCAGCGTATGTGACCCACGAGAGGGTGTGGGCTTCGTCCTTCATCCAGGGTGTCTGTGGAGTGACGTCTGAAGACATTTTCTACATCAACCTTCCTCTTTATCACAGCGCTGGATTCCTTATTGGACTCGTTGGATGCATCGAAAGAGGTGCGGTGGATAATACGATATAACCCATATATACAGTTGAAGTCAGATTTATTAGCCCTCCTGTGAATTTCTTATTAAAATACTTCCCAAATGATGTTTAACAGAGCAAGGAAATGTTCACAGTATGTCTGATAATATTTTTTCAACTGGAGAAAGTCTTATTTGTTTTATTTCGGCTAGAATAAGAGCAGTTTTAAATTTTTTTTTAACCATTTTTGGGTCAATATTATTAGCCCTTTTAGGCTATATATTTTTTGGATAATCTACAGAACAAACAATCGTTATATAATGACTTGCCTAATTACCTTAACCTGCCTAACTAACCTACTTAAGCCTTAAAATGTCACTTTAAGCTGGATACTAATATCTAATCAAATATTATGTACTGTCATCATGGCAAAGATAAAATAAATCAGTCATTATAACTATTGTGTTCAGAAATGTGTTGAAAAAATCTTCTCTACGTTAAACAGAAATTGGGGAAGAAATAAACAGGGGGTCTAATAATTCAGGGTGACTTCAGCGGTATCTAGAAAAGCTTGTAAAGTGTTGACTGAAATGTGATTTTCCTCCAGGCAGCACTTTTGTTCTGCGGAGAAAGTTTTCCGCTTCTCAGTTCTGGGACGACTGCAGGAAGTACAACATTACTGTGATGCAGTACATCGGAGAAACCTTACGCTACCTCTGCAATACGCCACAGGTAAATAGGCTTGTCACTGCCTAAACGTACAGATGCTTCTTACATATATGGCATATGTGACTTAAAATCAGCGCTTTTCCTGGGAATTGAACCAACAAACCTTAGAATTATGCTTTCTTATTTGAGCGCGAGCGCGCGCACGCACGCACGCACACGCACGCACGCACGCGCACACACACACACACACACACACACACACACACACACACACACACACACACACATATATATATATATATA